CCAACAAGTTTAGAGCTGCAAGGAAGATTCCCTGCAACTTCAAACTTGATGTAGGGACACACACCATTAACTACTCCGGACCCAAACTTAATTGGGTACCAAAATCTTCCTCCTCCTAATGCAGGAAGCCGCTAAGTACCCAGGTGTCTGGTACTTAGACAGTGGCTGTTCAAGACACATGACGGGTGATGCGAGCCTTTTGAGCAATCTAATTCCCTATGATGGTCCAAGAGTTACTTTTGGAGGAAGCAATGATTTTGGCTTCACTAAAGGGCTAGGAAATTTGGTGTACAAGGGACTAACCATTCAAGCTGTATCTTATGTTGAAGGACTCAATTATAACCTTCTTAGCATAAGTCAGTTTTGTGATAAAGGTTACTCCTTGGAATTCTGCAAGGACATGGCATCTCTCAAGAACATCTCCACAAATGAAGTGATTCTCACTGGGAAGAGAATCAGAAACATCTATGAAGTGATATGGAACGATGTCAAGGAAGCATGTCTAATCAGCAAAGGTGACACTAACCTTCTATGGCTTTGGCATAAGAGATTGAGTCATCTCAACTTTAAAATTCTCAACAAGCTATCCAAAGAAGAGTTAGTAGAAGGCCTTCCCAAAGCTGTATTCAGGAAGGAAAGCATTTGTGATGCTTGCCAGAAAGGAAAGCAAGTCAAATCTACTTTCAAGGCAAAACCGGCACCCTCAACTACAAGAATATTAAGTCTTATTCACATGGACTTATTTGGCCCTGTTACACCAATAAGTCTAAGTGGAAAGAAATATGTCCTGGTAGTTGATGATTACTCAAGATACACATGGACAATCTTCCTCAACAGCAAGAAGGAGACTCAAGGGAAACTCACTAACTACATGACGCTGATTCAAAACCAAGAAAGTCAGACCATTCAGAAGATCAGATCTGACAAAGGCACAAAATTCCTGAATTAAATCATCATTCATTATTGTGAAGAAAACGGAATTCTTCATCAGACATCCGCAGTAAGGACACCTCAACAGAATGGTGTATCTGAAAGAAGGAACAGAACCCTGAAGGAAGCAGTGAGAACAATGCTAGCAGAAGCTTCCTTACCAAAGAGGTTCTGGGCTGAAGCTGTTAACACGGCTTGCTATACTCAAAATAGGAGTATGATTTATAAAAGGCACAACAAAACTCCCTATGAACTATGGAATGGGAGAAAGCCTAATATATCATATTTCCATATTTTTGGGAGCAAGTTCTTTGTGTTAAACAACGGGAAGAATCATCTGAACACTTTTGATGAGAAATCAGATGAGGCCATCTTCCTTGGATACTCTACGGTGAGCAAGGCATTCAGAGTCTTCAACAAAAGAACCATGATCACTGAAGAGTCAATACATGTTATTTTTGATGAAAAACATGTGGTTGACAAGCCATCAAAGCATGATCATGAGGTTCTGGATCTATCTGACAAGGATGAAGAAGTCAATGAAGGAGATAGAATGAAGCCTACGGAGTTCATTCCATTCAGAAGTCTA